TCATCCCTTTCCCTGGCATTAGTTACCTTCTATCTCTCCCTCCAAAACAATCAAACAGAGAAAACAGAGAAACACTGAAAGTCAATCACACACTCACAAAACTGCCACTGAATTGAAGCCCACTAAAAACTCCCAGAAAAATGGATGGTTCTGACAATGGTTTCTCATCATCAACCTCTAGCAAACCTTCTCCAATTCAGAAATTCTCACAAATTGGTACTACTCTCTCTCTCTCTCTCTCACATATGTATATCAGTATATTTATATTGCGTTTCATCTGGCTATTTTGAGAAAATGAGAAATAAAATCTAGCAATGTTGTGAAGTATTGAAGTTTCCCCCAATTTTTTTTTTTTTTTCCTTTGTTTTCTCAGCAACCAAACATGCCATTGCCATACTACATTTTCTGTTTCAATTGTAGATTTGTACCAACAGAGCATTTCTAATATCTGCAGGAGAATCAGATGAAAATTGCCTAAACTATGATAAAATGGTCTGGCAGAACCCAAAGAAGCCACCAACAAAGCATTTCATGTCACCAACCATATCTACGGCTTCCAAGGCAGCTACTCCAAGAAAGAAAATCTTGGCCGAGAGAAATGAAGAATCTTTGATTTTTTCCAATACCCATCATCAAAAAGCCCCAAATCTTGATTCAAGAAGTTTTTATGTCAATCTGGGTGTTGATGGTTCTGATCGATCTTCGTCTCCGCTAATGCCAGTGTACAATAGGGTCTCTGAATCCGATGAGGATTATGAGCAGAACAGTTTTGTTTCAGATTCATCATCGAAACCTTATGATCCCTTGAGGAATTACCTTTCCCCAAGGCCTAAGTTCCTCCGGTACAAGCCAAATAGGCGGCGCGAGATCTTTCTTGGCCAAGAAAATGAGAGGGGAGAAAGGAAAGAAGATGGGTATGGTGTCAAGAGAAATGTTGTTTCTTTTGATTTCCAGAGAAAAGAAGACTCATCATCAGAGGATGCTCGCAGCCCCTCGGCTTCTTCTTCTCAAGATGGTTTTGTAAGAAAAGAAGATGATGATCACATTATCAAGAAAAGTGATAATTCTGATGATGCTGATGAGGAATTTGAAGAGTTTGAAGGGGATGAGGAGGAGGGAAAGTGTTTGAATTTAAAAGCAGCAGTGAAGTTTTTTCTTGTATTTGTCACTCTCTTCCATTCTACCTTGTTCATATCTTCTATGAACTCACCTACACCTTCACCCACCCAACAAGCGATATCGGGTCTCAAAAACCGGTATGATAAAATTCACAATCATACATTTGAACTTGCCACTGTCAAGCTTTTTGAAGGAAAAGGGACTAAAATGGCTGATGGGTTTGAGAAAGGATTGTTGGAAAGTACTGATGAGTTGGGTGAAGAGATGCAAATTGAGCAAAGTAAAGCTGTTTGTGCTCATGAATTGGATGAAGCAGAAGAGGAGGTTCCTGAAACTGCTAATGGTGAAGAAGATGTTTATGATGAAGAATTGGAGAAGAAAGAGGGGGATGAAACTGCAGAAAGTGATTATTATGTTGATGATCACAACACGGAGACAATAATGGAGGGTTCTGATCAGTTGAATGGGACTGAAACTGAAGAAATTGCAGAAAAGTTTGAATCTTCATCAAATTCTGAAAATGAGGCAGATGGGTGTTCAAGTATCAAGGATGAACCAATAGAAGATGAGGCAAAAATTGAAGCAATCCAAGGAATTTCAATTGATGGAGAGAGCAAAATGGAACACTCAAAAACTGAATTGATTCAGGTAACAGTCATAGGAATTGTCTTATTTTTCATGATCATTGCAACTTCAGTCTTGGGATTTCATTTTAGGCACAAGAAAACCTATGTGAATCAATCTGTGTCTATAGAAAAGCAGCTTCCTAAATCTGTTTTAGCAGAGAAAACCAAAACCGGCTCAGTAGAAGAGCCAGTACTACCTCCCAATATGGAAGAACATGTTGAGAAAGTTGAGTCTTTCGCGAACGCTTCACATTTGATTCACTCGATTGAGGAATCTTCGAAGGACTTTTACCAAATCCGAGCGCCAACAGTGGAGTTGCTAGGAGAGTTAGTGGTTGGAGAGAGCAACAATTCTGCTTCTCAAGAGAACGAGATGATGAGGAGCAAGGCTCGCACAGTTTCTAGCCAAGCACAGGCGTCTGCCTCAGAGTTTTCGAGTACGAATTCACCTTCTTATGGAAGCTTTACTGCTGAAAAGAAGATTTTGAGAAGAAGAGAGGTAATAAACACTTTGAGCACTCTTTGCATTTTTGGTAATAGTGTTTTTGTTTTTAACTATAACTAATTAGTTTTAGTTTCCTTTGAAATGGTTGATTTTGTTTTGTGTGTGATCCTTTTTCTTTGTTTCCCACAACACATTAATTCATTTAGAAATCGGTTTTGTTAGATGGGTATGCCTTTTCTCTAGTTAACTGAGTCCAGTTGTGAAGTGAGCCGTGTGCTTTTTAGATTATGACTAAGTAATTGAACTCTTCCAAAAATATAATTTCCAACTGACACAATTATAGATAGAAAAGTTATGTCAATTTTTTTTTTTACTTTTGAGGTCTTAAAAATTTAGAACTTTATTATTTTTAAAAGTAAGTCAAATTTTGTATTCGTAATGTCGTATTAGATTGGAATAAATAAAATCATCCCCATTAAATGCTTTGCACTTAGGAGTTTAGAACTAAACATTTTTGTATTTGATACAGGATGGAGAAGTGAAGACAGTAGTTGTTACAAAAACTCCAGTGAGGCGATCCAGCCGAATCCACAACCGAGCAGTAATGTCTCCATGAATCATCTACCAGCTTTTAGGTTATTGTTTTTTGAACCTTGCAACTTTGAAACACCATCTTTTGCTGTTTCATGATTCAGGGATGTGTTCTGTCTGTGTAGGAAAAAACTGAACTGTCTTTTTATAAATTTAAATGAAAGATCCAGCATTGTATTTTTATCTTTATTTTAAAACTAATTCTTAATTAACTAATTCTTAATTACATTTATTAAATTTAGGATTGAGTTTGTCTCCTATTTAAGGTTTGAACTGTGAATCGAGCAGTCTGAGCATCATGATTGTGACCCTAATATTGGGCGTGTGATTGAGTGGATGGAAAAATTCTAGGCCTATGTTTGCCACAAAAAAATACTCATCACAATTTCGGTGCTTAGACTGCTCAGTCCAGTTTAAACCTCCCTCAGCCTTCAATAAAATGAAGAATGCAAGTGTTTTTGGAGGTTTGTGACTCTAATAGGTGGGTCAGTTTCTTTAAACTCAAAAGTATTGCTTTTTATTTTTATTCTATGTAGTATTATGGTCGGTTTTTTTCTTATGATTTCTTCAAATTTTCAGATCAGTAGAAGCATGTATTGTGTGAATACAATGACTTGCAATTAAAAAGATTCTAGTAGTTCTCTAAATTTATATACAGAACTTATGAAGATTCTATGTTCTGCTTGTTGAATTGTCAATCATTTATAAGATCAGTGAATTCTAGGAGTGCAATTTAGTCTAAACATAAGGCATTTTCATATGGGGAACACAGAATTGCCGTTAAAAATAAAAAAATAATAATAAATTTAGTCTAAACATAAGGCATTTTCATATGGGGAACACAGAATTGCCGTTAAAAATAAAAAAATAATAATAAATAAAAACATTTCCTTGCATTTTCATGAGGGAATCTCAATTCAAGTTTTCCATGGTTTTTATTTTTGTAAAAATGAAAAAAAAAAAAAAAAAAACGAACAAGTGCCCTTTGTATGGATAAAGAAAAGAAAAGAAAAGAAAATGAATTATCTCCTATTTTAATTGATTAAACTACATGAGAGAAAAAAAAAATGAAATGACTTTAAAACAACGAGTTCATTTATTTATTTAAAGGGACAATTTTGATATTACGAAAAATAATATATTGTTTTTTTTCTTTTTCCTTCTCTGATTTTCTCCAAGTAATACGAACAAATAGTTCTTTTATTTCTAAATTACCAAATCAAGTGAACTTATGTTCAAAGAAACTGGTGTAATTGCATTTATCAAAAACAAAAAAAAAGAAAAAGAAAAAAAAGAAACTGGTGTAATTGCCACCATTAACTGTATAAACTGCAGAATAATGCTAGTGATCGAAATGTAGTGATCAAGATTCCCCCCCACACAAAAATAAAAATAAATAAATAAATGATGCCTCTTTTATTCTGCAAAATGGTTGCAGGATGAAGTTTCTTATATATGCACAGCCAATAACATATAAAAAGCATCACAACAACAGCTTTCACTCCTTTCTGGACAAATACACCTCAACAACAGCATACCAACAAACTACACCTCAACAACAGCATACCAACAAAATACACCTCAAGACACCTGTGATTTTTTGTTTTCATTCTCCAGATCAAAACAAAACTGTGAAATTATATTCGAAATTACGGCTACAATTTACAAACGAACTGAGCATTTCATAAACTAAACAAAACTGTGAAATTATATTCGAAATTAGGGCTACAATTTACAAACAAACGGAGCAATTCATAAACTATCTTAAGAACTGAATCAAGGAGGGTTAATTACACCAAGACTCCATCAACTATTAATTAATATTATTTTACCTCTTCATCTATGAACCCGTACATTTTAACCCCCTAAATTATAAAAAAAAATATCACTTTCACCATCTTTAGACCATCTTTAAAAAAAATGGTGAATTTGTATCATTTTTTATAATTAAAAGGATCAATATGTACGGACTCATAAATGAAGAGGTAAAATGATATTAATTAATAGTAGAGAGAATCTTGGTGTAATCAATTAGTTTGTTATCTCCCTCTCTCCTTTGCAGGTCATCTACAACAATTTATTCTCTCAACAGTCTATGGATTTACATTCATTTTGGGTAAAACCCATATCACACTAACTTTGAATTTCCACCATACATGTCACTTTCGAGCTAACATCCCAAGTTCTTTTGGGCAGAAGAAGGAATGAGAGGGGGTCTCAAACAACTCACAAAACTGCCTCTTCTGCTTGCAAAAGATAAGGATGATAATGAACTTCTAGAAGATTTCTTTGATATGCTAGGCTTAGGAAGAGTATACAATTTATAGGTGTCTAAGCCTCCTCCATAGCTCTTTGATGCCTTCATTTTCCTTCTATAAGGGCTCTCTTTCTTGGGAAGATCTTCTATGCTTGTCACCCTTGATAGAGATGTAAAAGATTGAGACTTGCCATCATAAAACTTTGAGAGTCCCCTCCTGCATATAGGATTTCAATGTCCCATTTAGTATGTAAGACAGACTAAAATTTAGCAATTAGCTTTGATGCCTCAGATTTAGTTACATATTATCTGAGGAAATATTAAATATTAATTATTCATGGAGTTTTAAAGTTGATAGTACAAAATATACAATTCATTCACCAAAGGAAAAGAAGAAACAGGATAAGATTTGTATACATGTTGTCTTGTCCAAATCCCACTTTAGTAGGAGTCTCATGCATTAGTTTAGGTGGGTTATTTTTTTTAGATTTTCATTTTATTTTTTAACAAAGAATAAGAAGAAGAAAGAAAGAAAAAAAAAAAATTCTAATTCTCATCCAATTCCCTTAGGAATTTGTAAGGATTATTGTATCACTATGCATGTATGGAAATATTAATAAGAAATGCAGGAGCACATTTTCCAAGAAAAAAACAAAGAAAAAAAAAGTAGGATCTGGGAAAGCTTTGTTTGTGTGAAGTAAGTATTCATGCAGTTTCTAAGTTGATAATACAATCCATTCACCAAAAAAGAAAAGAATAAAGTATTCATGGAGTTCTTAAGTTGATAATATAATATATTCCCAATTTTTTCCCCCTCTAGTTCTCCATTGAATTATTTAAGCTGTGTTTGAACCTTAAAATTATTTATGGAGTAATTTGTAAAAATAAAAAAGAGAACTAAATTTCTTAATAATATAATCCATTCACCAAAAAAATAAATAAATATAAAAATAAAGAAAAAGAAAAAAGAAAGAAGAGGAAAGTGAAAAAAAAAAAAAAAATTTCGAGTTCTCGTCCAATTCTTTAAGTTGTGTTTGAATCTTAAAATATTTATGAGGTGATTTGCATAATGAAAAGAAAATTGAATAAATTAAGTGAATGAATTTAAAGTTTATTTTTTTGTTCCTTCTACTTTTTCATCTATAAATTTAAGATCCAAACATAATCAATCAATCACCTTAGGAATTTGTAAGGGCTATGTGTTTCAAATATATATATCGATAATATCAATCCTAGGAGATACTTACTTGATGGGTAGTTGGGTCATGAGATCTGATAAATCAGACAAAGGTCCATTGGAAGATGATGTGGATGAACATGAAGGTGATGATGAAGATGCATCATCTGCCATATCTGAGGATGAAACTGATGATCCATTTGAAGCTGTTGAATCTCCTAAAGATGTAGATGATGAAGAACCATTGTTGTATGCATCATCTTCTTGATCTCCATTGATCTCCCACTGATGATCTTCATCTTTCACATCCCCAACATACATAGAATATGGACTTTGACCCATTTGCTTTTTGTCTTCACCACCCATTGATAATATCAAATAGAAGAAGAAGAAGAAGAAGAAGAAGAGAAAACCCTAATTATCTGATATAATGATATACACATGAAATGAAGTTGAGCACATATATACACATGCATAACTAATGTGGATTGGGTTTTAGTTTCCGTAATTAGGGTAAATTAAAAAATGGGTTTTCCATGATTTTGATGCCATATGGTGACAGGTGTAGAAAACACAAGGTTGATGAGACAGATGTCAATACTAGAGCAAGGTAGCATGGGAAGTTATATGGACTAGGGTGGTTATCATAGTAAATACTCATATATGCTCTAATGATTCAATTGTTAGATTGTTCATTGCCCTTATCCTTTTGATTCAACATATCTTATCCTATGGTTTGAATTCTTTGACTTTTACAAATTGTTAGTACAAAGTTCATTGATGAGAAAAGAGGATAAGCTCTATGGGTTGGAAGCCATCCATATCCTAGTCACCACCTTACCACCCCCATAGACAATGTCTGTATTTTCTATTCCAAGAATCTCTTATCTAGATCATGTGAAAAAATAGTTTATTTCAACTTATTTATTTTTTTAGTGTATTGATTGAGCTGAACTTAGATATATATTAAAAAGGGCAATTGACTGGGAGGTATAAGTATTTCTGTCCCTCCGTAGGTTTGCATATGTATATCTTCTCCCACCAACCCTAGCAAGTTATATCCAACAAATTTTATTTCAATTTTTATGCTAATGTACATCTTTTCCCCCACTTTTATTTTGAGAGTTGCTATGTATTATCGGATAAATTTTATAAGTTATTTTTATTTGGATAAATTTTATTTTACTTGTTTATGGTTTGGTCTATGTGTAAATTATCCTCTCTATTTTAAAAATAATCACACAATTTATAGTGGTTTGTGAACTGAAGTGCACTATTAAGCCTCGTAAATGATCTAATGAAAGAGAATAAAATATTCTTGTATATAAGTAACATAAGTTTGTGAACCATAGATAATTGTCATTTGTATGGGAAGTAAAATGCAATTTAACCCTATATGCTTTATTTCATGTGCGATTTACCCATTTGAAAATTGAAAATGAGCATATGACATTTTTATGTTTGGCATGTGTTTCACACTTGCTATTAAATTAAACAAAATGTTTAACAGTGCCCTTTAATCCACAAATCACAAAGCGGCTACGTGATTATTTCCAAATAATAGAGGGTAATTTGCACATGAGCTAAACTACAAGAGAGTAAAGTGATATTTAACCTTTTTATTTTTTACATAGATTTACATAATAAACAATGTATGTATGTGTAAGATTTATCATATATATGAAAGAGATGGAATTCTCTCTAGTTCATTAGAGGGTGTTGTTGGAGCCCATGGAGCTCACCATGGGTTCCATTCTAATGATTTGAATAATTTATTTTGTTGGGCCATATAAGTAGAACATTCATAAAAATAAATAAAAAAAATTGTTATGATATTTATAATTATATAATTTTACTATATTTGTCATAAAAACTATAAATAGGCTATTTTAAAAATTATGCTTAACTAATTTATTTTATGAAGACACATATAATAAAATGGACAATTTATATTTTCGAAATGAAACATATAGTGAACCCTACAGACCCATGTGTGAACTGGAGAGAATGATCTCCTTTATAAAAAAATGGCAAGTTTCTATTATTTACTAAATGAAAAAACTGGTCAAATTTATATGGTGGCCATAACATATATCATTTTCCTTTTTATTTTTTAGTACCCCAATGTTCAACAAATTTAGAGATGGTATATATGTATGTGCAATTTGCTTACACCATTCATGAGTTCCCTAACATGAAACAGACTTGGGTGGAAAATCTTATCTCATGGGACTATTGCAACCATAAGATCTAGAAGCTCCAATTGACCTTTTCTTCCCTATATATATATATATGTGGAGTGCAAGTTATCTATTGATCAAAATGAAATTTGAATACTTCATTTGGGTACATTTTGTCAACAATATGGCTTCTTGAAGACCTATCTATTAATTTGGTCAAAAAATTGGAGATATGAGAAGACAACTTCAACCACTCTCTACCTATTTATTTTCTTATGTGTTGTTGAGGTTGTTTCATTTGGTAACCATACAATTGTGAGGTTTGGATGGTCACTAGACCTTGTGGTAATAATTCACCTAATGGTGTCCATCCTATGGACCTTCATTGTGCTTGAGAAGTTGAGGTCATGGTGTCGAGTCTACGATTATTTGACATAGTTTATGGAGATGCTTATTTATTTATAATTATTTGTTATTTTAGAAATTTGCATAAAAATGTTTAATACAGTTTATGTTTATAACTTATGAGGTAGAATTTGCTTAAATAAACTGAAAAATGTTTATTATTGAGAAACCAAAAAAAAAAAAGAGGTTCTTTTAGTTTCTGTTTTTTTTTTTTTTAAAAAAAAAAAAATCAATTTTTAGCATACAAGAAATAATACCAAACAATTCCTAAAATACCTTGCACCTCATTAGGGGTTAAGGGATCGATCCTCCTCGTATTTGTCTTGGATTTTTTTTATGTGTGATTTGTTAATTTTTGAGCTTGTGATATGCTTATAATAGTCTATTATTAGACTTTATGTCACATTGAATAACCAATCTATTATAAATCATATTTGTAAATTATCTCATACTAAAAAGAAAAAAAGAAAAAAAACTCATATACACTGACTAATAGGCGAGAGGAATTTAATCCAAATTGAGAAGAAAAAAAAAAATGAACGCAAATAATTTAAAAAGACAAACACACGTATTGATTCTCTTGCACATTTAGATTAAACTATGATGCTTTATAAAAGCCAAGACAAGAAATTTTTTATGTGGGACTTCAATGTTCAATTCAAGACTTCACAAATTTAGTTGAAATTTTTTTAAAATCTAGTTTTGTTGAAGACTTTTTTTATTATTATTATTTTATTAAAATGGTGTTACATGATTTTTCAATTAATCCCAACACTATGGGGTGGTAGGATGGTAGTTAGGAAAATGACCCACTATTTATTGGTTGAAGTTGCTTTTTTAAAATTTTGTTAGTAGGAACAAACACATCCTAATGCAATTCTTATCCTCCATTTGGTGATGGACCTAGTGGATTAAATGGACCACATAAAGGACGGTACGAAAAGTTGGGAGGATAAGAAGTGAAGTTGATTTTAGGTACATGTTACAACAAAAAAATTTATACAAAATTTTTATATATAATAATGTGAGTTATTGTAAATCTATCACTTGAAAACAAAATACTATTAAGACCATCTCTAACCTTTATTTACATATTTCATCAAATTTGAATTTAATAAAAAAACTCCTACTTCTTAGATTCTAATTGTGTCATCAAACTTATATCAAATGAAAGCAAAATCAAAATTTTCATCAAATCAAGGGAGCGTTTAATCTTTCATTAAATTTCACAGGTGATTGCTGGTGGACGACGGACTAGGTGGACGACTGGATGGACAACCAGGTAGACAATCAAATTTGGGAAGATTTGATGAAAATTTACTCTAGGCTGACCGGTCGAATTTGATGAAACAATTGAAATGCATCATTTTAAATCAAACTCTTATTCAAACTTGATAAAAATTCTGAATAAGCATTAAAGATACTCTGAAAAATAAATTTATTTATAATAATAGTATTATTATATCATTCTTGTTAATTTTTTTTTTTTTATATGTAGGGACATATTTTGTGAATAATAACATGTGGCCAATGTGGCACTGAAGTGCCAACCGAGGTGCCACGTGTCTTGGTTATGACGCCAAGATGATCTCGGCTAGGCCGAGGTTATCTACGGAGATGTCGAAATCTGGGATAAACGGATAAGCTTTAAGAGTTCTAGAATGGGAGAGGCCTTCAGCCTGGATAAGGATAAAGCTCTTAGGGAGTTAATCTTGATCTATTGGAGAGTTCAGGATGAGCATTGAACTAGAGTCCAAGGGAAGCTAGGCTTCTACAGGGATCAGGTTAGTGCTAACTATAAAAGTAAGGTACCCTCATAGGTCTAAGGTACGCTTTTTGTATTTTGACTTATGAGTTAAGCACAATTAGCTATCTTTGAGAGATATTGATTGCTGACTTGATCGTCGGAGAGCCCCCGGGTGGACGAACCACCGCCGGAGTCTTATCTTTCTGTGACAGGTCGTTCGGGCACAATCTATTCTGCCAGTGTTTTCCAGCTGAGTACATGTTTGGCAGTGTGGTAAAAAATCAACACCCACAATTTGGCGCCGTCTGTGGGAAAGAAAGGAGAATAGATGGCCAACGATGGACAGAAAGAGAAGATTGGGGACAACATCCCTACTAGAAGTGGTAAACACTTTGATCCTAACGTAGAGGAGGATAACTGCAACGAAGAAACTTGGGATTAGAATCCCAGAGAGAAAGAAGTCGGCCAGGAGGGCGACATACCAAAGAAGTCAGATCGATGCAGGTATTATAATGACGATGACCTCCAGGTATGGAAAGATAGATGCCTGTGGAGGGATGACGAGATGAAAAGATTGGCGAACAAATTGGCAGACCTGCAATCGGTCGTCAATTTCATGATGCAGAACAACATCATGCAGCTACCATTTCCGTTACAAGATACGCCGATTCCAGCGGCCAAAAAAGATGCCCAGAAAGGGAGGCAGAAAACAGTTCCTCCAATCCCCCAGCATACTAGGACCAAGGAACACTCTCATCGGCCTTCAAAGGAGGTCAGGCGAGGAGAGTCAATGAAGGGAGATTCTCGGAGCACACATCATACCAAAGAAGCTAATCCCAAAGAACATCGGCATGTTCAAGGGAATGAATTTTGTTTCGACACGACTAATCGAGGGAGGTCCAAGAGGACCCATAACGAGACCGAGAGTAGCGTGCCAAAGAGGCTAAAATCCGTAAATAGCGGAGCTCCTGAACGGACCGAAGAGGATCTGAGAGATTACCTCCAGAGGAAGCAACAAGATGCCGAGGTAACCTCTCCGGTAAAGCCAAGAACGTCGTTCTCGGTAGAATTGGACAAATTTAAGGCCCTAAAGAGGTTCCACATGCCGAGATTCCAGAGATACGATGGTAAGTCTGACCTCAATTTT